ATGTCATGCTTTCCACATTGTAAATCTTGTAACCTGCAAGTCTAAAATTATAATAATAAATGATAGTGCGATAGCCAATTGCTTCTTTTAAAAAAAAAAAAAAAAAAGGAATGAATATGATAAATTTTATCCATATCTATTGCATTAAAAAGTTTATAAAGCTTTTTTGCTTTTTCGATTCTCTTATATAAAAGGCTATCAGAAGTATCTGTGGATAACTGTGCTTTTACTTTTTTATTTAAAATTCTACTAACAGTATTGGATTCTGGATTAACTTGTCTTTCCGATGCTATTTTATTACGTCTCTGAATAATAGCCTTTCCAAATAGGCAATAACATATGATGACTTCTTGGGCTTTACGATTAGCAAGAATTATTGCATCGCAAAGTTTTCTATATAAAAGTGTAAAGTTAATATTGCTAGGCAGAAATTCCACTTTATCTTGGATAGTAGTTGTCACATTCCTATCTATATTATCATTATTAATAGAACTTGAGTTTTTAGAAATTTCTGACATGATTTTCTGTACTTTGTCTTAAGAACTAAGGTTCTTTTTCCAATTCTTTTCTCTTATTTTCTCACTAATCATTTCTTTATATATGCTGTTCAGGAAATCATTAATTTTCTTCTCTTCCGATAATATAGTTTTTATAATAATAGAAGACGTGGAGGATCGACTATGCTTTTTCTGGTATGTATCAAAGAAACTATGAGTTTGATGCTTTACATCAACAGGTGTTATATCGGAGCTATTTTCTATTCGTTCAGAAGTAATACTAGAATTTGAAGTATTATCAGGTATATTAGATGCCAGAATATCATTAGGATTTACTGGAGATCGCGAAATATCATTTGTAAAAATACTTTTTTCTCCCTGTTCTAATATAGTGAGTCTAGTCCCAAGCTCTATATTCTTTTGTTCTAGTTCCTCGACTCTAGCATTATGCTTTACATTCTCCTCAATAATCTGCTTCAACTTCACATTCTCAGCCTCAAGTACAGGAATCTTATTGTTCTCTTTTTTAAGCTTGGCAATCTCAGCTAAGAGTTTGGCATTTAATTCTCTTAATGAATCAATGATATAAGTGTTTGTCATTATTTTTTATAAATTATGTGATATATTCAAAATAAAAAAAAATCCCGTGTTTTTCCTTATGGCCTGTAAGTGAAATTTACTAAGAAAATTTCTCGATCATATATGAATGCCATCATTATCAATACGTATGTCAGAAAAAAATTTTTTATTAATATAGCATAAGCTACCAGGGTAAAATAAATATGAAGCAAGATAACTATCTATCTATTATTTTTGGTAATTTTTTCTTGCACGCGACGCCTCTTGCTTTCAGTTTCATCACATTGTTACGGTGAAATACGGCGAGTCTGTCGCTTCTGTTCTGTCTACGCTGTACTACGTTGGGGAATGGTTTCTCCTCCAAAGAGACGTGAATATTTTGCTCGAGTTTAACAATGACGCAGGTCGATTCGTCGATCGTGCGTCGTAACTGCCAACCTCCTGCGTGGTCACTCCTTTGTTTAGTGACACTCTCAAGATAGATAGCC